CCTGTACCACCCTCGACTCTCCTGTCGACCACCCCTTTAGACACCCTAGACATCATACTGGATGACCTGTTACCCCCCGTCGCGATCGAAGTGGAAGTCCCCTCCCCTCCCGCACCCACCAGCACTGAGGACAGTTCTGCACTTTGAAGGGGGGGGGGCTATGTAACGGGCCAAACCGACCCACTGCGCCGATCATTTGTTTTAACGTATCAAGGTCATATTTTCTGGTTTCAATTTTCAGAGACTGAGCTGAATCACGCGCCGGATCCGAGGATTGATCTCCATCAGTTCGCGTACCGGATTGCTATCACCTCGCGTCATCCTCGTATCACGTTCTACCGTCTCGAACTAACGAACGTTACCCCCCCCCGGTTTGACCGTTTCAATCTTTATCAATTTTGTACCCTCAGAGTCTGGAATTCCAGATACTTTTTCCCCACCCGTTTTGTTAGACTAGTTTCTCTGCGTTTCTCATTGATTACATATCATTCCATTAAACCTATCTCCATATTTGATCCTTTCGTCCTTGTTTCTTCTGCGTGCTGCGATGTCTGAGAATAAGTAAGTTTCGTCTGTCGTACATTCCGAAGTTAATCGTCTTTTAGAAGGAATATCTATTCCACCTGCCGAGAGTCGACGTCTCCCTTTGTTATCAAACCACGCGCCGGACTTGTCAAGGTCACAAGTAGTACGGAATACTACAGCAACATTTCGAAGTAGGTCGTTCTTCTGAAGACTCGCGTGTTTGTCTACTTCTTTTAGAATTCTTTTGTAAGTCGTGGAAGTGTTTTTTAAAAGTAACTCGGTTTGTTAAGGCTGAATTTTGCTTTTAACGCAAACCCATTTACACTCACTGATCGATTAATTTTAGCATGTAGGTAATTCGGATTAAAATTTAAAGATTATAAGATAGTACGCACTAATGTACCTGAGATAGTATACTATCTAGGGTACCTTATTATTAACAATTCCTGGACATAAATCTCGTCCAAAATACAGCAGAGCTAAATATATGACACAATGCATTACTGGTAACATATTCAACGTCGCCCGCAAATACTTCAACTGATTTCCATCTGTATATTAAGGCCAAACCGG